ACACACATTTAGTTAACATCCATATCAATTCCCGTATAAAAATTGTTACAACAAAAGTCCAAAATTCAATCAAAATTGAAACAAATCAAGATGATTAGTTCAATTGATCCTATGCCATAACCAAAAGCAAAACAAGAATTAGCAAAAATTAGAAAAATCCTATGCACCCTTATTTTTGTACTAAAATCCAAAAATTTCATACCTCACACAATTCAAAAAAAATAAAATAAATAGTACATTAGCATNATGAAAAATTATTTAAAAACCCTAACATTCAATTTCTTACTAAGTAATCATCAACTTAACAAATCCTATTGCATGAAATTGACACCCAACATTCAATCATAAACACTAAAAACAATATTACAATCCTATTAAATGAAAAAACCCAATTAATGCCCCAATTGTGTGTGACTTTGTGTGTATGAGTGTCAGTGTGTGTGTATAGGCGTGTCAGTGTGTGCGTGTGTCTATGCTACTATGTGTTTGTGTGGGGGGAGTGTTTGTGTGTGTTCAACTAAAGAGAGAGAGAGAGTACCTAGACTTCATTGCCTGTAGGCTGATTGGCTAATACAAAATAACTCTAAAATTCATTCAATCAAAACCCTACAAACATCTATTTCATAAAAAATCTCAATTGGAAAACCCTAACATTTCNTCCAGTGACCCACAAATAAACAAAACCCAAACTCATAATGAAGCAAAACAACAAACTCAAGCAGAAGCACAAACCATAACATTGGACATCATGCCAAAAATGATTAATTGCCTTTCCGTCACTTTCACTTCGAACTAAATTATCTAAACCATAAAAAAGAGATATATAGAGAGCGAGCAAAAATAAATAAAAGATTGGCAATCATATCCAAACCATTAAAACACCATTGTCTCTTTCTTTCATGCTGCCAATACATTTTCTACTCAACGCCTGTTCAAATGGAAAAGAATAATAGTTTTCATACAAAAGTCTCAAGACAAAAACAAACTAATATATCCCGAAACAAAGCCAATAGTTATTGACTCAATGTACATAAAAGGCCAATGAGATTTCATGGAAGCAATACTACAAACAATTTGTTTGTGCTTGTGTGCGTTGTGTTTGTGTGTGTGCTGGGATGGGGGTGTGTGTATGTGCGATGTATGGAAAAAAAAAATGAAAGTAAGCTTCTCGTTGCCCAACCAAAAATACTTCCATTAATAAAAAAAACTACTATACAATGTGTTATAGATTTACCCTATGACTGGACAAATTAAGTGCAAAACAGAGGCTGTCATAATGAATAGAAATAAGTAACTTCAATAAGCATCAAACATCTAATTGCAGGCAAAAAACATTTGGATGTTGGGGCTGTCATTTCAAACTTCAAACGATGTAGTATAGCAGATTCCATTTGCAAAACCTGCAGTAATTTGACAACGAAAACACTAAGAAGCATCTAGCATAGAAAAATTTAAGTGGCAATCTTGCAAAGTTCAGGAGGGAGGGAAGGATTTCAAAGGGCCCACTTTTAGAATTGCACGTCAAGGAGAAAAATTAAACTAAGAAACTAATAAAAAATGGATGTCCACCTAAAAGGAAACCTAAAATTCAAGAACAAAACAAAGCACAAATTAATGCATCCACTGTTTTTATTAGCATACTTTACTTGTAAGTTCAATCCCCATTTCTAAGTTTGACTAAAATAGATTTCAAGTTTGAAGGAAGAACACCTGCAAAGTTTTTCCCCTTCCATCCTCCTCCTCCATCACCATATTTCTCTCACACACAAACACACACACACACACACACACACACACATGCCCACGGCCATTGGTCACCCAAACCAATAAATTCAATTCATAACAAACAAATTTAGAAAAATCAAAATCCCCATTTCATTCTTGGATGGGCTACTCTCAATATCAAATTAAGAAATTTCAAATTCAAAATCATAACATTCAATCAAATACCACCAAAAAGAAAGCACACTCGTTATGGGTCATTTAATTTCTATATACACTACCATGAAAATATACCTATATTTAACTTTGGGATCCATAATCCCTAAAGTTTCAATTTGGGTCTTTAGACCCTCTAGAATTTTAACTTATGAGGAAGCACAGTGGAAAAAGCATTAAAAAAATCAATAATCTACTTTATGGAAGGTAAAAATATACCTTAGAAAATAATGCAATTGCCCGTATCAACTCAAGGAACCATCTTGAATGGAAAGAATGAAAAAAAAAAATATATCCACCAAAATACAATAAAAATTTCATCATTCAACCTCTGCATATATTAATTTTTATTTCTTAGTGTACACAAAAACCTCAACTTTTATTTGTCAGTGTACTTGAGACCTAAAATTAATTAAGACCCACATCTTTTGGACAAAGTCAAACAAAGTTAAACTAACATAAAATTCAAAACCCTAGTTTATTCAAATACAGATTGACAAAAAAAAGGGGTAACAAAAGAAACTATATAACTTGAACAAAAGAAACGAAAAAAATCAAACCCATTTGAAAAATCTGGGTAGAACTGTAGATCACTAAGAACTCTCTAGTTTTTCCCAAATTCAATCAAAACCTTAATAACAATAACACACAATCTCAGGCAATTAACCCAAAATAACCTGAAAATACATTCAATCACAACCCTACAAATATCTATTTCATGAAAAATTATTTAAAAACCCTAACATTCAATTTCTTACTAAGTAATCATCAACTTAACAAATCCTATTGCATGAAATTGACACCCAACATTCAATCATAAACACTAAAAACAATATTACAATCCTATTAAATGAAAAAACCCAATTAATGCCCCAATTGTGTGTGACTTTGTGTGTATGAGTGTCAGTGTGTGTGTATAGGCGTGTCAGTGTGTGCGTGTGTCTATGCTACTATGTGTTTGTGTGGGGGGAGTGTTTGTGTGTGTTCAACTAAAGAGAGAGAGAGAGTACCTAGACTTCATTGCCTGTAGGCTGATTGGCTAATACAAAATAACTCTAAAATTCATTCAATCAAAACCCTACAAACATCTATTTCATAAAAAATCTCAATTGGAAAACCCTAACATTTCATTTCTAACTAAATAATCATCAACTCAACAAATATTATTGCATGAAATTGCACGAAATCATTTATCAACTCCCGCCACAACATAGTAATATCAACAATAGAATAAAGTTCAACTTTATCCATATATATCTGCATATATCAAATTCAACCCGCAATTCCAAATGCATGCATTTAATTTACATTCATATCAGCTCCCATATAAAAATTTCTACAACATAAGTCCAAAATCCAAGCAAAACTAAAACAAATCATGATGATTAGTTTAATTGATCTTGTGTCTATGCCTAAAGAGGCTGTGTAATTAAAACCAAAACAACAATTAGCATAAATTAGAAATTTATTGGACAAAAAATTAAATCCTCAATATATTTTTAAAAAAAATTGATCAAAGATTCCCCTAAAAATGAGACCACAAAATTTTCAACCTACATACCAAATTTATTTTCATATCAAAAAGGCTACCAAAAGTCTCACTATCATGTCATAGTTCTGCCTAACACAATCATTTACCAACTAACGCAACCACGTAAAGGCAAGCCAAAAGTCATTGGATAAATTATGGATCTGCATATATCAAATTTGTAAAGATTTTGAGAGAGAGACATGAGAAAGAATTGGAAGGTAACCTACCTTCCCTTTCATCTCATATATATATATATGTATCTGAATATAACTAAAGACTATTATATCCCTCTTAAGATATAATTATTACATCGATGTCATTCTATATATTCTAACACTCTCCCTCAAGCTGGTGAATATATATCATATAATCTCAGCTTAGAACAAATATTTCTCAACTGAAAATTACCCAATGACTTAATAAACATATCAGCAAGTTGATCTTCAGATTTGACAAAAGGAGTGACAATATCTCCACACAACACTTTCTCTCAAACAAAGTGACAATCAACTTCAATTTGCTTTGTTCGCTCATTAAACACAGGATTAGAAACAATATGAACAGCAGCTTGATCATCACAAAACAACTCAATCGGAGTCTTGACAGGGAAACCAATTTCCTCAAGGAAGTGTTCCAACCATGTTTACTCACTACATGTGTAAGTCGTTGCTCTATACTCAGCTTCTGCACTAGACCGTGCCACCAACATTTTTTACTCTTCCATGTAATCAAGTTACCTCCCAAGAAGGTACAATAACATGTAATAGATCGTCTATTTGAGGAGGAACCTATCCAATCAGCATCTATGAACTCTTCCAATCTAAGATGTCCATGAGATTTATACAACAACCCAAGTCCAGGAGCTCGCTTGAGATATCTAACAATACGGATCACTGCATCCCAATGTAGTACTCGAGGAGCTTCCATGAATTAGCTTACTACACTCACTGTATAAGATATATCTAGTTGAGTAATAGTAAGATAATTTAACTTCCCAACAAGTTGACAATACCTTCCAAGATTTGAGAAACATTCATCTTCATCCACTAAGAGTTTATGGTTTGGATTCATAGGGATATCAATTGGTTAACCACCTAGAAAACTTATTTCCTTTAAAAGATCAAGCACATATTTTCTTTAGAAAAAGCTAATGCCTTGTTTCAATCTAGCAACCCCGATACCAATGAAATAACGAAATTTGCCTAGATCTTTGACATAGACTCAGTGCGGCAGAAATTGTTTCAACTTGACAACACCAACTGAGTCATCACCAATAATCACAATATCATCAACATAAACAACGAAAAAGATATTACTTGCATTAGTATGTAAGTAAAACACGAAATGATTTGTCTAACATCCACCAAAATCCAACACCGCATCTAAAAACTTTCCAAACCATGCTTGTGGAGATTGTTTCAATCCATACAATACTTTCTGTAACTTGCACACAATCCCTTGATACCCCCCTGAACAACAAACCCAGGTGGTTGCTCCATATAAACCTCTTCCACTAAAGGACCATGTAAGAAAGTATTCTTCACATCTAATTGAAATAAGGATAAATCAAAATGGACTGCATGAGATATTAGAACCCAAATATAAAATATTTTAGCCACTGGAGAAAAAGTTTTCGCATAGTCAACACCATAAGTCTGAGTGTAGCCTTTAGCAACTAGGTGAGCTTTGAAACGATCCATGGAACCATCCAGATGAAATTTAATAATTTAGACCCGGCGACTGCTAATAACCTACTTACTAGGAGGCAACAAAACAAGATCCCCAATATGATTGTCATGAAGTGCTTACATCTCTTTTCCATAGCGTGCCACCAACGCAGATCAAATAAGGCTGTAGTGACAATCTTAGGAATAGACATACTAGATGACTGAGTGGTAAAACAAGAGAATAAAGAAGATACTGAACGAGAAGAAACAAAATGACCAATAGGATGATGAGTAATACAAGAACGAGTACAATTATGAAGATCAATCGGTAACGTGTCGAATGGAATTGAAGTAGCCGAATTCGAAGAAAATAAAGAAGTTGGTGGTGGAACAAAATCTGGTGTTAGCAACCTTGATCGACGAGAGTAAACATATAAAGGGGTGATGGAAGGAACAAGAGGAGACACGAACATAGGAGATAACTCAGGAGATGAGAACACTGGAACAGGTAAGGGAGATGAATAAGGGACACAAGTAAGAGGAATAGGTGGATCAAAGAAATAGGATAGAGATTCTCAGAAGGTGACATCAGCACAGGTAAAATATAGGTGAAGAATAAGACAATAACAACGATAACTTTTTTATGTTAGAGTAACCTAGAAAGATACACTTGCTGGCGCAGGGATCAAGTTTACCAAAACTTGGACCAAGATTGTGAACATAACAAACACAATCAAACACTGTGGGAGGAATAAAGAATAGTGGAGACTAAGGGAGCACTATATAATAGGGAGAGGACCCATGTGTAAGACTGTAGAGGGCAAACGATTAATAAGATAACATGCTGTTAAAATAGCATCACCCCAGAAACAGTTAGGAATCTGCATATGAAATAGGAAAGCACGATAACATCCAATAAATGATGATTCTTGCACTTAACCACAACATTCTATTGGGTGTATTAACACACGATGTCTGATGGATAATATCTTTCTGTTGGAAGTAAGCTTGAAATGGATTAGATGAATATTCTTTAGCATTGTCAGACCGTAAAATGTGAACATTGCAATCAAATTGGGTCTTAATTTGCTTACGAAACAACTGAAAGATATAAAATAATTCAGAACGAGATTTCATTAAAAACAACCAGGTCATACGAGAACGATCATCAAAAAATGTAACAAAATAACGAAATTCATTAATAGACGACTCTCCAGGGGGGCATACATTAGAATGAATTAATTCAAAAGGACTAGAAACATGATTATCAAGCCTAGATTTAAAAGGTACACGATGGTGCTTACTAAATTGACATGCTTCACAAGACAAAGGCAACAAACTACTAAAACTAGAAACTTGAGACTTCAAAACTGAAAGGAAAGGATGAATGGCCTAGAAGACAGTACCACTGAAGAGGAGATAATGAGGTGTAAAAGGCTCGAGGAGGAGGCTCAAAGTCAAAGTAATAAAGACCACCATATTGATGTCCCGTACCAATCTTTCTCTTCATCTTAAAATCCTGGAAAACACAAAAAGTGGGATAAAAGGTTATTTAACAGATAAGCAAAAGAGTCATCTGACTAATAGATAACAGGCTAAATGGAAACTGAGGAACATGTAAGACTGAAGACAATGAGAAAGAAGGACAAAACTGCATGTTACCCAAACCTGAAACTTGTGAGGAGGACCCATTAGCAAGAGTAACACTGCGAGATGGAGCTACAGAGTGAAAGTGAGATAGTTGACTAGAAGAACCAGTCATATGATTTGAGGCTCCAGAATCAATAATCCATGGGCTGAAAGTGGAAGACAATAAATAAGCATATGTCATACCTGACTGAGCGAAAGTTACGGTGGAATGGCTCAGTGCCTGTTTATGGGACATAAATTAAGCATACTCATCTCAGGAGACGGTGATAAGGTCATTAGGAATAGACTGAGCAAGACTAGATGGAACATCATTCTGAGAAGAGACTTGATGAACCGAGATAAGAGGTTTGCCATATAAATCCCAACAATACACAATTGTTTGCTAGCTATGACCACAATGAGTGAACCTACGAGTGTCCCGACCTCCTCTTCCATTATGCACCCCATGAGAACTACCAGATCCACCATGTATGCCACGACCTTTCGTCCGCCACGACCTCCACGAGAACTACCAAAACCATGCTAAGAGACAACTAACGTTGATCGATCACTAATGGTATCAACACTTGACCAAGATGTAACATGGAAGAGGGTAGCACATTGAAGACGAGAGAACACATCTAGAAGAGAAGGCAATTGAGGACTGCCCAAAATCTGTGTACAAATAGGTTCATAGTCGGACCGTATCCTAGTCAAAAAACGAACAACATCAACATCATCACGTTGTTGTTCCACCACAAAAACATCATAAATGATAGGCTGATACAACTTCCGTTCCTCACATATTTCCATAACCCGAGAAAAATACTCTTCCAAAGCCAAGCTACCTTGCTCAAGACTGAAATACTATTGACACACCTCATAAATACGGGTGACATTACTAGTACCAGAATACATGTGAGTCAGACGATCCTAAATCTCCTTGACAGTATCCAAATACAGTAAGAAGAATTGATGTGAAGCTCAACACTAGTCAGTAAGAGGGAAATAATCTGTACATCTGTCTGTTCCCATTGGTTAAAACCAGAATCACTAACTATGGGCTTAGCTTCAACAAGGTAGCTACGAAGGCCTTTACCCTTATGACAAAATCAACAGATCTTGCCCACAATACATAATTACTCTCATTTAATTTGACAGAGGTCATTTAATTGGGTGGAGGAACAAAGATTATAGGAGTAGCACTAGGAGTGGGAGACGTAGTATCTACATTAGGATTCATGTTTGGAGAGAAATAAGGCAAGAAGAAGCTGCCACACGAACTGCTAGGCAGAAATAGAGCCCAAGAGAAGCTGAACCGGCTGGACAACAGTTGGAACCGCAGGAGAAGTTGTTGAACCAGCCCAAAGAGGTCTGAACCAGGGGAAAAGAAAGCAGAACTGGCCTAGGAAAGGCTGAACTGGTGGGAACCGAGGCAGAAACCGTCCTGCAGTGGATTGAACCGGCGGTGAAGCTTCCTGAACCGGACCAGAGGACACCCTGACAGCCTGAACCGGAGTCTGAACTGAACCAGTTGAAAGGAAAGGAACTGAACTGGTTCAGTTGAGCTGAACCGGTTTGGTTTGACAGGATCAACTGCTGGACTGGGCCTGGACGTCTAAATGGGTTGCTTGACTGGACTTCGTGGAGTTAGGCTTAATCAGATGTGGTTCTAACCCATTGGCCTTATCCAAATGAGGAATAGGAATAAGCCACAGCTGGAGAGATCCCACACTGGTAGCCAAACAAGGATCTTCCCCTTCAAACTGAGTGTGAGTAGGGAAAAGAGGAACTCCACTGCCACCAGAGAAACCGAAACAACGCCAGCAACAACACCCAATCAACACCAGAGCAACACCAATATCACCCTAATCAAACCAAAGCCATTGGAACAACGATCAACACGACGCGCAAAGCAGATCAACACAATTCGCAACAGGCAGCGNATCAGATGTGGTTCTAACCCATTGGCCTTATCCAAATGAGGAATAGGAATAAGCCACAGCTGGAGAGATCCCACACTGGTAGCCAAACAAGGATCTTCCCCTTCAAACTGAGTGTGAGTAGGGAAAAGAGGAACTCCACTGCCACCAGAGAAACCGAAACAACGCCAGCAACAACACCCAATCAACACCAGAGCAACACCAATATCACCCTAATCAAACCAAAGCCATTGGAACAACGATCAACACGACACGCAAAGCAGATCAACACCGATCAACACAACTCGCAACAGGCAGCAACACCAACCCGAATCATGGCAACAACCATTCGAACACCGTCAACTTCATCAACAGTAGAAGCAACACAACACAATACCAAACCAAGCCATCGACAAACACACTGTCGAGCCAAAAGGTTAAATATTTTTTTTATTTTATGCAAGGGAAAAGAAAGGAGAGGCAAGGACCGAAAAACCCTAATAAGTTTGCTCTGATACCATGTAGAGAGAGAGAGAGAGAGAAAGAATAGGAAGAAGGTAACCTACCTTCTCTTTCATCTCATATATATATGTATCTCAATATAACTAAAGACTACTTTATCCCTCTTAGGATATACTTATTACATCGATGTCATTCTATACATTCTTATTCTAACAAAATTCAACCTGCAATTTCAAATGAATGCATTTATTTAACATTCATCAGCTCCCACATTGAAAATAATGTAAGGAACAAAAAATCAATTTCATTTTTTTCAAACAAAAATCAATTAAATACAACCCCAAGCATACTTCCACACAAATGCGAGTGTATGAGTGAGCAAACTCAGTTATGAGCTCATACATGTCTAGTTTAATTGTTTTGAGATCCATTACCATTATCAACATCACTTATCCGAAGAGCACAACCAAATATGTACTTAGTTATCTTCATGGTCTAAATATGTACAGAGAAAATGCAAGACTTAGTATTCAACTCCCATCATTGTGTTTGTGGGAAAATAATAATGAATTAGATCAAATAATCATACTGAAAATCTCAAAGGCATTTTATCAAATAGCTAGCAGGCGGGTTTGAGAGGGACAACTTATCAAATTGCTAGCATGCGGGCGAGTTTGAGAACTTTAAAAGAAGTAAAAATTTTACTTTCATGGTCACCATGGAGCTTTACGACAAAAATATGATGTCAAATATCCATGAGTCACTTTTCAAAAAAAAAAAATATCCATGAGTCTACCATACACATACCCAAACCCACCTTCGACAGAACAATTGAATAAATATTTAAGTCAAACAAATCCAAACCAAATATATTCACCTCACTAAAGAAATATTACAAACACATAGATGTAATTTATCTATTGTGACTAAATACACATGACTAACTTGGTTAGGAATGGTAGAAGATTAGATCATCAATAAATATCAGTTGTATTTGAAAATTGTTCTCTGAAATCTCTCTTATCATATCTTCTCCTATCTTTGTGTTCACAAATCCAAGAGTTAATCTCTCAAATTTACAGCCTCATCGCATTGTTAGCATTGTATCCCAGCTACTGCAATTGAATAACATGTTCCATCAAACTCATGCCTCTTACTCAATTTGCAAACTGGCCATTGTCATCACTTCCAACAAACTCATGCTTAATTATTGATTCAGACCACAAACTATGCTGCCCATGAATTAATAATCAAAAACTCAATAACCAAAAATTACATGAAAAGGCAAAACCTTGAATGTAAGAAATTGAACCCAAAACTTGCAAATAAAATCTTGGAAAACCCAAAACTAAGATTCAATTATCAAAAGGAACCACGAATGTGAGAAATTGAAGATTCAAATATGTAATATTTGGCAAGTATAGCAGAATCACAAAATTGAAAAATGGGAAGCACAAACACTCTAAACAAGAATCAAGTCTACATAAAATCACAGTTTCGATATTTACAAAATAATCCGCCGACAGCACAACAAAAATGAGAACTACAATACTAAAACAACTACTACAACTACTTTATCCCAATAGACTCAAACCAACAAATTTCTAGAAATTGCATTAATAAATTATTACCTCTACCAGTTGAAACAACAAATAAACATATTAAAATAGCCACCTTTAAACCTCCTTCTCCCATTCATAACCTGAAAAATATGAATAAAAAAAATTAGTGTTGCAAATACGTAGGTTAAGAATCTTTAAGAATAATGTGTGTAGGGGGGTTGAGCCCTAAAGCCCACTCCTGGGCTAACTCCANCTTTAAACCTCCTTCTCCCATTCATAACCTGAAAAATATGAATAAAAAAAATTAGTGTTGCAAATACGTAGGTTAAGAATCTTTAAGAATAATATGTGTAGGGGGGTTGAGCCCTAAAGCCCACTCCTGGGCTAACTCCACACTCCATCCCACTCTTTCCAAGGATTCTAAATCACTATAGGGCTTACCTATAATTAGAATATGAGGTGACCCAGAATGAGATTGAACACATAAATTAGTATATGTAATGGAACTAATTATGCAAACCATCAAATACGTGGTGGGTGCTGATTATATGAAGGGGTGGAGGCAAAGGAGAAAGGGGGTGTGGTGGTGATGGCGATGGTTGTGGTTTTGGTGGGGCTTGTGCTGTGAGGGTGTAGGTATGGGTGTGTTGACAAAAATGTAAAAGGTTTTGGAGTGTGTTGTGAGAGGTTTCAAAGAGACAACCAGAGAGGGAAGCTATAGAGGGAGGAGAGAAATGGGTGAGACAATGAGAAAATGGTGTGGGTGGGTGAAATACACAGGGTTTGGGGTGATTTGTGTGTAGAGAGGATGAGAGGAATTTTTTTTTTTTTAGGGGGGGGAGAGGAGGGAGGAAGAAAACTTCCTTAGAATGACAACGATGTTGTGGCGCTGGCATTGCCCTTCTCTTGGAAATTCGATAATAACCAAAAGAATATCAATTATCATTAACGATGGTTTGCTTCAACTGAGATGGGGTGGGAGAACAGNAAGTTGTTGAACCAGCCCAAAGAGGTCTGAACCAGGGGAAAAGAAAGCAGAACTGGCCTAGGAAAGGCTGAACTGGTGGGAACCGAGGCAGAAACCGTCCTGCAGTGGATTGAACCGGCGGTGAAGCTTCCTGAACCGGACCAGAGGACACCCTGACAGCCTGAACCGGAGTCTGAACTGAACCAGTTGAAAGGAAAGGAACTGAACTGGTTCAGTTGAGCTGAACCGGTTTGGTTTGACAGGATCAACTGCTGGACTGGGCCTGGACGTCTAAATGGGTTGCTTGACTGGACTTCGTGGAGTTAGGCTTAATCAGATGTGGTTCTAACCCATTGGCCTTATCCAAATGAGGAATAGGAATAAGCCACAGCTGGAGAGATCCCACACTGGTAGCCAAACAAGGATCTTCCCCTTCAAACTGAGTGTGAGTAGGGAAAAGAGGAACTCCACTGCCACCAGAGAAACCGAAACAACGCCAGCAACAACACCCAATCAACACCAGAGCAACACCAATATCACCCTAATCAAACCAAAGCCATTGGAACAACGATCAACACGACACGCAAAGCAGATCAACACCGATCAACACAACTCGCAACAGGCAGCAACACCAACCCGAATCATGGCAACAACCATTCGAACACCGTCAACTTCATCAACAGTAGAAGCAACACAACACAATACCAAACCAAGCCATCAACAAACACACTGTCGAGCCAAAAGGTTAAATATTTTTTTTATTTTATGCAAGGGAAAAGAAAGGAGAGGCAAGGACCGAAAAACCCTAATAAGTTTGCTCTGATACCATGTAGAGAGAGAGAGAGAGAGAAAGAATAGGAAGAAGGTAACCTACCTTCTCTTTCATCTCATATATATATATATGTATCTCAATATAACTAAAGACTACTTTATCCCTCTTAGGATATACTTATTACATCGATGTCATTCTATACATTCTTATTCTAACAAAATTCAACCTGCAATTTCAAATGAATGCATTTATTTAACATTCATCAGCTCCCACATTGAAAATAATGTAAGGAACAAAAAATCAATTTCATTTTTTTCAAACAAAAATCAATTAAATACAACCCCAAGCATACTTCCACACAAATGCGAGTGTATGAGTGAGCAAACTCAGTTATGAGCTCATACATGTCTAGTTTAATTGTTTTGAGATCCATTACCATTATCAACATCACTTATCCGAAGAGCACAACCAAATATGTACTTAGTTATCTTCATGGTCTAAATATGTACAGAGAAAATGCAAGACTTAGTATTCAACTCCCATCATTGTGTTTGTGGGAAAATAATAATGAATTAGATCAAATAATCATACTGAAAATCTCAAAGGCATTTTATCAAATAGCTAGCAGGCGGGTTTGAGAGGGACAACTTATCAAATTGCTAGCATGCGGGCGAGTTTGAGAACTTTAAAAGAAGTAAAAATTTTACTTTCATGGCCACCATGGAGCTTTACGACAAAAATATGATGTCAAATATCCATGAGTCACTTTTCAAAAAAAAAAAATATCCATGAGTCTATCATACACATACCCAAACCCACCTTCGACAGAACAATTGAATAAATATTTAAGTCAAACAAATCCAAACCAAATATATTCACCTCACTAAAGAAATATTACAAACACATAGATGTAATTTATCTATTGTGACTAAATACACATGACTAACTTGGTTAGGAATGGTAGAAGATTAGATCATCAATAAATATCAGTTGTATTTGAAAATTGTTCTCTGAAATCTCTCTTATCATATCTTCTCCTATCTTTGTGTTCACAAATCCAAGAGTTAATCTCTCAAATTTACAGCCTCATCGCATTGTTAGCATTGTATCCCAGCTACTGCAATTGAATAACATGTTCCATCAAACTCATGCCTCTTACTCAATTTGCAAACTGGCCATTGTCATCACTCCCAACAAACTCATGCTTAATTATTGATTCAGACCACAAACTATGCTGCCCATGAATTAATAATCAAAAACTCAATAACCAAAAATTACAGGAAAAGGCAAAACCTTGAATGTAAGAAATTGAACCCAAAACTTGCAAATAAAATCTTGGAAAACCCAAAACTAAGATTCAATTATCAAAAGGAACCACGAATGTGAGAAATTGAAGATTCAAATATGTAATATTTGGCAAGTATAGCAGAATCACAAAATTGAAAAATGGGAAGCACAAACGCTCTAAACAAGAATCAAGTCTACATAAAATCACAGTTTCGATATTTACAAAATAATCCGCCGACAGCACAACAAAAATGAGAACTACAATACTAAAACAACTACTACAACTACTTTATCCCAATAGACTCAAACCAACAAATTTCTAGAAATTGCATTAATAAATTATTACCTCTACCAGTTGAAACAACAAATAAACATATTAAAATAGCCACCTTTAAACCTCCTTCTCCCATTCATAACCTGAAAAATATGAATAAAAAAAATTAGTGTTGCAAATACGTAGGTTAAGAATCTTTAAGAATAATATGTGTAGGGGGGTTGAGCCCTAAAGCCCACTCCTGGGCTAACTCCGCACTCCATCCCACTCTTTCCAAGGATTCTAAATCACTATAGGGCTTACCTATAATTAGAATATGAGGTGACCCAGAATGAGATTGAACACATAAATTAGTATATGTAATGGAACTAATTATGCAAACCATCAAATACGTGGTGGGTGCTGATTATATGAAGGGGTGGAGGCAAAGGAGAAAGGGGGTGTGGTGGTGATGGCGATGGTTGTGGTTTTGGTGGGGCTTGTGCAGTGAGGGTGTAGGTATGGGTGTGTTGACAAAAATGTAAAAGGTTTTGGAGTGTGTTGTGAGAGGTTTCAAAGAGACAACCAGAGAGGGAAGCTATAGAGAGGGAGGAGAGAAATGGGTGAGACAATGAGAAAATGGTGTGGGTGGGTGAAATACACAGGGTTTGGGGTGATTTGTGTGTAGAGAGGATGAGAGGAATTTTTTTTTTTTTTAGGGGGGGCGGAGAGGAGGGAGGAAGAAAACTTCCTTAGAATGACAACGATGTTGTGGCGCTGGCATTGCCCTTCTCTTTGAAATTCGATAATAACCAAAAGAATATCAATTATCATTAACGATGGTTTGCTTCAACTGAGATGGGGTGGGAGAACAAAGAAGAGGGAGAGAGAGACAAAGGCAGAGGAGCAAAGAGAGGGTGAGAGAATAGAAAAAGAGAAGCAGAGATATGAGGGAGATGGGGGCAAAGAGAAGGGTGAGGGAAAAGAGATAAGACACGTGGGAGAAGGATTTTGAGTGATTTTAACCTTTGGATCAATTTTAGATCTTTGGGATTGGGGTTTGGATGTGATATATATGAGGGGGGAATTTTTTGGGAGTGATTTTAGACCGTGGATCAATGTTTTTAAACAAATCTGAACCGTCGTTGTTTTCCAACTTTNAGAGAGGGAGGAGAGAAATGGGTGAGACAATGAGAAAATGGTGTGGGTGGGTGAAATACACAGGGTTTGGGGTGATTTGTGTGTAGAGAGGATGAGAGGAATTTTTTTTTTTTTAGGGGGCGGAGAGGAGGGAGGAAGAAAACTTCCTTAGAATGACAACGATGTTGTGGCGCTGGCATTGCCCTTCTCTTGGAAATTCGATAATAACCAAAAGAATATCAATTATCATTAACGATGGTTTGCTTCAACTGAGATGGGGTGGGAGAACAGAGAAGAGGGAGAGAGAGACAAAGGCAGAGGAGCAAAGAGAGGGTGAGAGAATAGAAAAAGAGAAGCAGAGATATGAGGGAGATGGGGGCAAAGAGAAGGGTGAGGGAAGAGAGATAAGACACGTGAGAGAAGGATTTTGAGTGATTTTAACCTTTGGATCAATTTTAGATCTTTGGGATTGGGGTTTGGATGTGATATATATGAGGGGGGAATTTTTTGGGAGTGATTTTAGACCGTGGATCAATGTTTTTAAACAAATCTGAACCGTCGTTGTTTTCCAACTTTAAGATTCAAAAACACCACTATTTTATTTATAGATATGACCATAGATTACTTTATAGTTGAACATACTTCGATTTTTTTTAACAACATTTTTATTAAAAAAATGCTTCTTAAAGCATTACCAAGTGGTTATAAGAAACCCGATACAATTTGAATATACAATCTTAGATTGATTTGTGTAATTTAGAGTGTCAATTATATTATTGCAACTCCTCTTTTTGAATCGAAATGAGATAACACCAAGTGAGACAAGTTTTTAACGATATATATTTATCTAATATTACAGTTGGAAACTTAAATTCTCAACTTATAAAAACACACCAATGGTCAAAATTAATCCAATCTCCATCTACTTTAATACAATGCTATAAAATTCCTCTCAAAAAAATTTTCCTCACCCAAAAACATCAACTTCTGTGTGAGACCCCTAATGCCAGACAATTCAATCAACATACTCTTCAATATCAAACAATCTCATCAATCCATACCTATCTCTTTCTTCATTTTAATTTTAAATTGCATAATTAGAAAAATAATATTGTAAGATCAATTCGATTTTTGATATTGTATAGTATCTTTAGACACAAGGTTATTCTAGTAGCAATATATTACAAGGGGTCCTCTTTAGTATTTCGAAAAATTTAGGGGCACTTTACAAAGGACGTTAAATTCTCTGACTCAATAAAAAATGACCATTTTAAAGTCAGACTTCTCTGANAATTCGATTTTTGATATTGTATAGTATCTTTAGACACAAGGTTATTCTAGTAGCAATATATTACAAGGGGTCCTCTTTAGTATTTCGAAAAATTTAGGGGCACTTTACAAAGAACGTTAAATTCTCTGACTCAATAAAAAATGACCATTTTAAAGTCAGACTTCTCTGACTCAATAAAAATTGACCATTTTAAAGTATCTCTGACTCAGTAAAAAAGAAAAATACAGCTTTTCAAGTATGCAATTTGACTCTTTCTGATCAACATATGTCATACACCGTTATGTTTTTTTGTTTTTTTGTGTGTGGTCTGATCATACACCCTTATGTTGATACACAGTTTTCATGTTATAAACTTAAGCATGAACATCAATGGAAACAGGAATGCAGCATTTTTTCCAGCCAGAATTTGACAGCGATGGGTCACAGAACAATGATCACTGATGAGGTTCATATTGTTCTATTCAAGATGAAGGAAACATACACAATTTGCACATGCTGTTTGTTGAACATTATGCTATCAACTGCTTCAACATTCTGCAATGCTGCATGGTTCGATCAGAGAAAGGCAGGTATAGTCTGTGCGATGTGCTCATATAGTAACATATTCAAGATTTCAAAATTATTTAAACTTATCAAAAGTCGCAGTTAATGGATTATTGGAAATATAGATGAAAATAGGGGGGAAATTCAAGATATTTTGGCCAACAAAACAGTTAATGATAGGATATCTAAGGGAAAGGTAAAGGCAATGCATGTAGAATGTGTAAAAGCTAAGGTCTTTTCCTGCAATAATTCAGAATAATTTGGAAAATTCTGGGAATAAATTTGGAATTTTTTGTGCCTGAAAGTAATTTGGAATTTTTGAAATATGCAAGATGTATTCCAGATTCTCTCAGCAGATAAAAATAAAGTTGGAAATTTTGTTACTATGATTGTGCTCAGGCAAATAATCAAAAAAACCTAAATCGCAAAAAGCTGAGGTGTATAAAATGGGCACTTTATCAGATGATAACTCCAGTTGTACCTCATTTAAAACAATGGTGATGCAGCCTTGGTTCTACTCTGAAAGTCCTCCTTCCACAGTTTCCAAGCATTCCGTACCTCATCCAGTTGTGCCTCTGGAATGCTGGTGTTTGTGTCCAATTTTTCAACCCAGTCCTTCCAAGGAGATTTTGTAGGGTCCAAGAATTTAGAAACTTGAGGCAACATTACAGAATTGTAGAACTCATCTACAACGTCAAGAATTTCTACTGATTCCATTAACGTTAGCATCTCAGGCCTCACAACATTGCCAGGTTGATTTCTCAACACAAAATTGTTCCCCCTCAAAATCAAAACTTCAGATGGAGCAAGGGGTAGAACAATGCGTGAGAACTTGTTCAGCGACAACTTCAATATATCTCTTGGAAGCAATTTACGTTTTACTGCCACAGCGGTCCCTACCATTTTACGGATCTGGTCAGGACCAAAATGTCACGTTAGAATACAAATGTAGAACAAATAACTAAAAGCACAAAAACTCTTCCTTTTTTCCCTCTTTTTTATTCTATCCACCTACCAAGCATCCAAATGATTTAAGTCTACATCCTTTGCCATGGTTCTGAGACCTCTGTGTGCATATATGTGCTTGTATTATGTGCAAACACCACTTAATAGTCAGAGAAATGACACTAATTCATTTAGTCATCTAAGTTCTTTCCACAATGATCTTGATAAATGACACTTTAATAAATAAGCCAGAGCAAATATACAGTAATCCCAAAAATGCAGCATACCAACTCTTATAGTACTTAGAATTGATAATAATGACTAAAAAAGCCTCGAGAATAATTTTTATGTTCTTGTTCACGAGGGCTGGGACACGAGTGGAACTGGAGGTCAGTAATGAACTCCATACATGTCATAGTCATACACATACTATCACAGGTCCCTTCTGCTGGAAAACATAAAGAAGAGACTCCTGCATTTAAGCACCTAGCCAAAACAATTCTATGTTTATGTTTGTGACGTAGCTCTCAGAATTCATAGAACAACTAAACTATCACAAGTCCCAAGGGCACTAGTACCTTAGTTGACAAAATTCTTTCATAATGTGTATTAATTATTCGATTTTGTCTGTTCAGGCAATAACTTTAGCTATAAAAGCAATAATCGTGCATCATCGATTCTGTTCAAAAAAGCCTTAGTATTAATAGTTTTTCCACTTAGTTAATCGCACCCTTTCATTGTTTTCTCTGCATCCAGACTTTACATGTAAGTGGTAAGTCTAAAAGGCTCGTAATAGAGATGGTTCTCCTGTTTATTGCGCCCATACTGCAGTACTGAATTCGATATCGGGACAAGATGACGAGTAAGGATACAATCATTGAGTGATGTCGTGAGAAACTTACTTGATGCAACATGAATGATTCTCCGCATATGGAGATCTCTACATAATTCATTGCAAGCAAACGCTCCAACTTTCCACAAGAACAGCCAAAAATCTTCCTGAAATGAGAGGCACTTAGTCTATCTGTCTCATCAGGTTCATATAGCCATCTTGCACGAATGGCTAGCGGGGGAGTTTGACTATTTAAAACATTCCCTTGCTCATCACAAGTGCCCACTCGATGGTCATCAGAAGTAATGGACTCTGACAAATTACAGCCCTTTCCCTGAACATTGGTTGCAACTCCTTCATTAGCTCCTGTAGTTTCTTCTCCATCACTTTCCCCATACTCAGAGTATGTTGCCATACTAGATGACCTTTCTTTTTTAGACACACGGCCATTTCCATGAGATTGCTTTGCAGGAAACTGTTTCCTATACTTGGATCGTACAGTATAGTTATGGAATGGATGTTCTCCCTGTAATGCCAATCATAACTCATAAATACTACTGGGGTGAACAAATGATCCCCATTGTATGTATTCTTTGTAAAGACTATGAATTATGGCTAGAAAAGTTAAGCTACTCGACAATTACACCGGTTCTTTTGCAACTAACAAGAATAACCTGATCAACACCCCTTATCAATTATCAAGATTCACACAATATGATCACTCTTTCTTCCATTTGTGATGATTCCTATAGCTTTCGAAAGTACAAAATGGCAATTTCAGAAAGGAGAATCTAAAACTGTAAAATGGTAGTTTTACTTTACTAGATTGCATGATAAATGAACCCAAAGATCTTGGTACCCAGAGATTTTCAGGCAGCTAACATTTTATACAGAAATTTCCAGACCAAAACACAACTCAGCCAGGTTCCAGAAAAGAAGTGATGGCACCAGGAAAAAGAGAGAAAACTGTAACAAAATAAAAACATACCTCAAAAGAATTCAATATATTGTTGAAATCTGATAAATGGTTATCGATTTCACCTGCAGGTAAGTGACTTTTTATTCCAATAATATCAGCAGGAAGGAGATAAGAATACTTGCGGATGTTACATTCCCTTCTAGGATCAAAGCTCCTGAAAACATATGACCAAACAAATGAAATAAGTAACGTAATGGAAAAGTAGGATGGGTATACAATAATAAGCGCTACATTGGTGGTCATTCTAAATTTTTTCCCCAGACAAGATTTGTTGACTTATTTGACTCCATTTCAAAAGACTAGAGAGACAAAATTCGTTATAATCAAAGCCTTCATATTGAAGTTAGTGAATATTAGCAAAACACATATCCGAGATACACAAAACCCAAAATTCCCCGCTTCTGATCATTTCATTGCTTGAATTTCAACTTTTCTACCTTGGATATGTGTGATAGGGGACAAACTTTTTTGGGAATGGAAAAAAAAGAATTAACATATGGAGAGTAACACAATTCATGAAAAACCATAGCAAGTGAGGGGATTCTCTAAAAGACAAAGAAATTGTGTTATTATAATATGATTTAAAATATAGTTTCTTTTCTCATAACCACTTTCCTTATGGCATTGATCAAGACACTAGGTTAGCCAGTCAGATACCACAATGATTTCAACTTTTTAAACTGTGNTTTGCAGAGAGTGAGTGAGAGTGAGTAAGAGAAGGGTGGTGAGCCTGACTTTAGGCTATTTTGATTCTGGGTAATGAAAAGCTCAGCTCAGCCAAACCCCATTGGACAAATAGCTTGGTTCAGTAGAAATGTTTGTTTTATTGCTTAGTGATTCCTATTTAACTTCTCTTTCCTACTTTTTTCAACAATTTATTTCATTTTCTTTCTAGAACAACTCCTTCATCAAAACAAAAAAGAAGGGACGAATAATAAATGAATGCCAGAAAAAATAGCATCTTACTGGAAAGAGAGTGCTCATCTCTTTGCAATTGTAGTCCTACAACAAAAATTCAAAAGACAAGAACAAAATAAGAAACATTACAATTCAAGTTGGAAACACAATACACAAAATAAATAAGAATAGAGGGAGAGTAAAAGTCACCTCTGTAGTCTGTACCGACGTAGCCGACGCGCATTACGACTTTCTTCTTGCGGAAAGATTCCCATTTGTCGCTGGTGAGGTTAAGGGAAGGGTTAGGAGGGTCTGGCGCTGAGGTTTGGGCTGTGGTGGTGGTGGTGGGCTGCAATGAAGGGGAAGAGCAGTGTAGTCTTAGAGGTATATTGGCAGCTGGGAAGAGGAGGGTTGGTGTTGTTTTTGCTATCCATGGGCAGAGTCGAAACCGTAGGGATGAGATGGCCATCAATGTCGACGGTGCAAGAGTCTGATAATCCAAACTGTTTATCGTGTTGGTCAGTCTGACAACTAAAGAAGGATAAATTACACTTTGACCACCTTAACTATGACTCTTTTTCATTTTACCCCAAAATTATCATATATTTCATATTATACTCTTAATTATGTGATTCGTTTCATATTACCCCAATATTAACATTTGTGACATGTCTAATGAAAAGTTATTTCTTTTTGCCCTAAAACTATGTAATATATTAAATAAATAATAATAATTAAAAGGATAAAGTATAATTTACCCAAATTAGAAACCTTCTCCTCCGATCAATTGTAGATTATACAATTGGCCCAGAAATTATACCATATGTTTGGACAAAGCCCTTAAATTTAACTTTGTGTCAATTGAACCCATCAACTTTAGATATCGAAATTGACCTTCTGTCCAATAGCCGAAACCTAGGTATTACGATGGTGGAGGATGCTTGCAAATAAAAAAGGGGGAGGTTCAACCTAGACACTTTTAAGGCGAGAGGCCCATAAAATATGTAAATTGACAAAAATATCTTTAACGAATGATGTTATTTAAAAACGTTCACCATATCATATTCTTTTATTTATTATTACTATCATCATGATCCCACCGCCATTCGCCACCCACACCACCATTACTGTCACCCACCACCACCCAACAGCATCACTCACCATCATCACCACTGACACTGAACTAAAAACAATAAACTCCACGATAGTGAATTAAAAACACTCTCTCCATTTCTCTTTCTGAATCAATTGTTTGATATATGAAATTTAGATGAGATTTGATTATATTTTTATTAAATTTTTGAAAGATATTTTATTTAGATTGACAAATTTTGGATGATCTTACTCGTTCAATTATGTGAACTAAAGATAGTGAACTTAAGATAATGAACTAAAAATAGTCACTTTTTTTCTTTCTATGAATATGTATTTTGTTATATATTGTGGATGAACAAAAAGGTAGATTTTTTAGTTCACTGTCATTGAGTTTACTGTCTTTAGTTCATTGTTGGTGGTGGTGGTAATGGTGGTGGTGGAGGATTTTTACGAAAGAAAAGCTAGATTTATCCATTGTTAAAAAAAAAGAGTATTTTAACTAAAAGAGTGTATTTTATGTGAGAACTCAATCTCATATCGACTAAGGGGTGGGACGAACGGAGGACATACGGGTCCCCTTGGCTCGCCTAAATGGGATACAATATTAACTATTATTGAAAACACTTTTTAATATTTTATTTAATTATTTTTTTGTCATTACTTCTATATTAAAATTTTAGTTGCTCAAAACCAAAAGGCTCCAACGACTAGTATTCCAACAGTCATTTTTTAAGTTATTATCTAATTAAATATAGGAGTAATTACAGATTATTAAACACCTATATTATATATATATATATAGAGAGAGAGAGAGAGAGAAATATACAATATGATATCTACTATCTCCCTACTATATAAGGCAATACAAAAAAGGTGTCGTGTGAAGCTTCTGTTTCATTCAATTGTGCAGATCCGAGTAAAGCAACAATTAATAGGCTGGATTGTTTGTATCCTGGGGCCGACATGTTTTACCTTCTGCACTGTGGTTCTTACATAAAAATGTGTGAATCGTCTTAAGAGAACGATCTAATCTGTGCCTCATGACTTGATCCGATATGTGTACACCCAAGTGCTGGCGGTCAAGTTGTAGTAATAATCCGATTAAGTCCGGTGTTGAATCCATAGGGAACTATGATTAGTGTTTTGAAGTAGTAGTGGCAATGACCAAGTACTGGAATCCTTGAGAGTTTGAAGTTATGGGATTTCCTGTATAGAATATAAAATTCTTTCCAAGAGTTTTCTAGACTAAATATAAGATAAATTCAAATGTAAAACAATCACCCTTTAGCTCAAGGATCAAAACATGTAGTTAATCATCTGGTTTGTTATACTTGTGCTAGATAACTCAATTAACTCCCGTGTTAACAACAAGTTAATTGGAAGATAAAAATAAACTGTGAGAATTAAGCACATGATTCCGATATCTTTCTAGAAGTTTACAAGAATTGTTTGTGCTGAGACTCAACCTGTCTACAAACAAGCAAGTATTTCTACAAGGTATCCAACCATAGCATTAATGTTCCATTCTTTAGATAAAGTGCAATTTTGGTGAAAATTGAAAGGTTGTCATGAAAATCTAACCGGGGTACTTGCCTTGAACCATCGGACCTTTCTATGCAAAAGTCATCCGTGGCATAGAAAGGACACATGGTTATACAAAATACCTTAGCTTTGCTAGATACATTCAATCATTCAATAAGTGAAATATAAAGCATTAAAACATAAAGAAAATGCACAAATATAACTTCTGGATAATCACTACATGTTTATCATCTCTTACTAAAGAGTTAATGAGGAACTACTCACTCTTCATGGCTTGGATAAAGCTAAAAAAGTGAGTGATGCTCATCCCTCCAAGTAGAGAACTTACAAAGTAAAGTACAATAAACAAAGAGTTGTTCTTCAACGAAGAATAGGTGAATCACGTTCCATCTTTCATGGCTTTGGTAAAGCTCTAGAAAAATGGAAGAGGTTCACTCTTCTAAGCAGGAAGGAAGCTCAAGTATTGGAAGTAAAATAAAAGAACATTGAAAGTAGAAGAAAGTTAGTTACTCTTGGAGGGTGACTTCCTCAACCAAAAGATGGAGTGTTGTTTCCTTAACCAACAAGTGGAGGGTTGCTTCCTCAACCAACAAATTGAGAGTTGTTTCCTCAACCAAGAGATGTAACACAAGAAAATATAACATACATCTAAGATTAATCAAAGTGAGTGAGAGTCTAAACCTCCATACAAGATCCTTACTAATTCTTGTTGTAGTCTAAGCCTACAAACCAAGCTCTAGCTCCTTACTTTACAAGAGAGGAAAGTTGCCCCCTTTCAAGCTCCCTTAATGGGAGTATTTATAGGCAAGGAATGGGAGGGGGGAAGATAAGAGAAGATGAATGAATAGTGTATGCTGCCCAAGTCTAAGTGAAAATCAACTACTCTGCTGGCAGTCTGTGGAGGACGTTCGAATGTGAGTTGACGTTCGAACGTTATCTTCATTTTGGCTTTATGGACGTTCAAACGTTGTCTTCTGTCTTTGCTTTAGGGGCGTTCGAATGCCAGATGAGGTTTTACCATCTCACTCAAGTGGTTTGTGGTCTTATGTGGAAACTCACTTCCACACTTCATGCATGTCTTGGCACTTTGCACCATCATCCGGGTGTTCAGTCACTTCAAGTCAACGTTCGAACGTGAGTTGGCATTCGAACTTGGTATTCAAGTACCTTTGGTCTTCCTTTGGACTGCAACATGTTCTGCCTCCGCATCCTGATCTTTTCATAGTTCAAGTTGACGTTCGAACGTGAGTTGGCAGTCGAACGTCCTTGCTTTGTTCCAAGCTTCTCAATTTTTGTCCCTAAATGCACTGGTGTTACACTCAAGTGTGCTATTTGTTGTTCTTGAGCTTTTGTTCACTTTAGGTCCTGATCACTTAAACTTCATCAAAGTACAATTATTCTCAAAAAGGCATAGTAAAATTCAAACTTTATGCACTAATCACCTCACCCTACCATTCACTTCATTTTTTGCATCCCATTTTTCCAACAATTTTAAGAGATTTTCATACCTGATGGAGAATTTTGCGATAGTCACTTCTACTGTTTCATTTGCTAGATCCAATGATCTTAATAAACCGTTTCGATTCAGTTGAAAATTCTTCAAAAGATGGGCGAAGAAAGTTCTATTATATCTCAAATTATTGAAGGTTGCAAGGATTCTCACTACAAAAAATCCAAAGAAGGTGAACAAGGAAGGTATGACTGTAGAAGATTTAGCAGATCATGAAAAGAATATAGCAATATAGGAGATTGACGAAGATAATTGTCGCAATTATTTGCTTAATTGTCTTTCTAATGAGCTATATGATTATTATTCCAATTCGTATTTTTCTACCAATAAGATATGAAAAGTTTTGGAGGGGAAGTACGACACAGAAGAAGTAGGGACAAAAAAATATGCTTGTAGCTGTTATTTTAAATTTCAAATGATGGAAAACAAATATGTAATTGCTCAAACACATAAGCTACAAATGATTTTTCATGAAATTGTGTCTGAAGGAATTAAGGTGGATGAACAGATGCAAGTTGCAATAGTTATCGACAAACTACCGGATTCATGGAAGGAGTACCAAAAGGAACTTCGTCACAAGCAATCAGAATTAAGTATGGTGAATTTAATGGCTCGACTTGGAATTAAGGAGGAGGCCAGAAAACAAGGGTCAAAATAATAGAAATAGTGCCTATTTGAAGCCTAGAGGTAATAACATGAAAAAGTTTAATAGAGCTTTAAATAAAAACCATTTTCAAAAGAAATGGAACCAAGGACCCCCTTCCAAATAAGTACCATATAATAAAATAATCAGTCAAATAATAGTGTTTGTTTTGTGTGTGGAAAGTCTGACCATTTTGCTAAAGATTGTCGTTTTAAAAAATGTGGTTGTACTCCTCAAGCTAATATAACTGAGGAACCACTTTGTGGCCATGATTACTGAGGTTAATTTTACTGAAAATAGTGAAGGATGGTGGACAGATTTTGGAGCATCCAGGCATGTCTGTCATGATAAATCTTGGTTCAAGTTTTTCTCTCCCGTTGAAAGTGATAAAAAATGTTGCTTGGTGATTCACATACTATAAGTGTTTTGGGCATGGGAGGTGTCCAACTCAAATTTACCTTTGGCCGAGTTTTGACTCTAAGAGATGTTTTTTCACAATTTTGAAATCAGAAAGAATTTGGTTTCTGGTTATCTTTTAAATAAGACTAGTTTCAAACAAACCATAAAATCTGATCAGTTTGTTTTGACTAAGAATAAGTCATTTGTTGGTAAAGGTTATGCTTATGATGGTATGTTTAAGTTGAATGTTGAAATAAATAAAACAACTTCTTCCATTTAC